GGACTACAGGTGCCTGCCACAACATCTGGCTATTTTTGTTGTTGTTGTTACAGTTGTTTAACTGGCCAGGGCTGGGTTCAAACCCACCACCCTTGGGTGTATGTGGCTGGTGCTGAGCCTGGGACCTCTTAATGTTCTGAAATCTCACAGTATGTGTAGCTTGGATTTTTTTTTTTTTTTTGAGACAGAGTCTGACTTTATCATCCTGGCTAGAGTACCATGGCATCATCATAGCTCATAGCAACCTCAAACTCATGTTTGAGCAATCCTCTTGCCTCATCCTCCCTAGTGGCTGGGACTACAGGTGCCCACCTCACTGCGCAGCTGTTTTTAGAGGCAGGTCTCACTCTTGCTAGTCTTGAACTCCTGAGCTCAGCAGTTTGCCCACCTGGCTTCCCAGAATGCTAGGATTAGAGGCATGAGCCACCATGGATGGCTCTTTGGATCATTTTTTTATTCAATGTGTTGCACACTCGAAGGGACCTTTTAATATGAAGGTTTATATCTTTTATCTGTAGAAAATTCTTTTATAATCTAATTGTTTTTGACCTCATCATTTTTTCTAATCTCTCTTTGGAATTTCTATTAATTACATGTTGAACCCTTTTATTTACCTTATATGTCTCTTTTTTTCTGTATCATTTCCATCATTTCCTTTATTTTATTTATTCTGTTTTTATTTCCCAATAGCTCTTTCATTACATCATATTCTGCTTTTATTAATAAAAACCCTTTTGGGGTACCTTTTTGGATTTAAGCCTTTCAGGTTCTCTTTTGGTCCCTAAATAATCTCTTTTCCTAGGGTCATTTTTTATGTATGTCTTTTCTTTTTTTATGTCTTTGTCTTTTCTTTTTCTTTTCTAAATATTGCAGAGTTTCTTCAGTGTATGGTGGTTTTTGGCTGTCTGCACATATTTAAGAATGCAGCATCTTAAAAGCTAGTTGGAACCTCAGAGTCCTTGGAGAGGCTTTGTAAATGGTTAGGTTTACTTTAGGGTGAGCAGCAAGGCCATTGGCTGGCACCCTGGGAACTTAAGCTTTAAGAGTCCTGAGTCTTGGGCCTGTGGCTCAGTGAGTAGGGCACTATATACAGAGGGTCCCATATATAGAGGGTGGTGGGTTCAAACCTGGCCCCCAGCCAAACCACAACAAAATAACAGCCAGGCGTGGCAGGCGCCTGTAGTCCCAGCTACTCCAGATGCTGAGGCAAAAGAATCACCTAAGCCCAAGAGCTAGAGGTTGCTGTGAGCTGTGACGTGACGGCACTGTACCGAGGGCGATAAAGTAAAACTCTGTCTCTAAAAAAGAAGAGTCCTGAACCTCTTTAGGATTCTGCAGGGTAAAATCAGTTAGTTCTGTGCTGAGGCCACCTCCATTGTTCTCTAAGCCAGAGCTTCCTGCATCTTGCTTCTTTAATCTTTCCTACTCTATTCACTTCCAATCTGTCAAAAATTGTAGAAATCTCTCTGCTACTGATATTTTTTTTTTTTTTTTTTTTTGAGACAGAGCCTCAAGCTGTCCCCCTGGGTAGAGTGCTGTAATATCACAGCTTACAGCAACCTCCAACTCCTGGGCTCAAGCAAGTCTCCTGCCTCAGCCTCCCAAGTAGCTGGCACCATAGGCGCCCAGCACAACGCCCTGCTATTTTTTGGTTGTAGCCATCATTGTTGTTTAGCGGGTCCAGGCTGGATTTGAACCCACCAACTTAGGTGTATGTGGCTGGCACCTTAGCCACTTGAGCCACAGGCACCAAGCCCTTTTTTTTTTTTTTTTTTTGAGACAGAGTTTCACTGTGTTGCCCTTGGCAGAGTACCGTGGCATCACAGCAACTTCCAACTCTTGGGCTTAAGCAATTCTCTTGCCTCAGCCTCCCAAGTAGCTGGGACTACAGGCACCTGCCACAGCACCCAGCTACTTTTGTTTTGTAGTTGTCATTGTTGTTTAGCAGGCCTGGGCTGGGTTCGAACCTGCCAGTCCCAGTGTATGTGGCCAGCACCCTAACCACTGAGCTATGGCACCAAGCCTGCTACTGATATTCTTCTCCACCCTTCACTGTCTTTTTTTTCAATGTGGTGAAATTACTTTTTGAAATTTCTTTGGTATCATTTTGAAGGGCTTAGGGAGGGAACAGAGGTAATCTACAAATTCTCTTTAGAGAGCAAGAAATCTTTGTACTATGAGAGAGTAAGTCCCACTTAAAAAAAAAAAAGTTTAAGTATGCCTTTTTCTTTTTCACAGGAAGTCTTACCTATATTCCTGAAAGTCGGTAGAAACTGGAATTCTCCAGTTGCTAAACTCATAATAGAGGAACAAAGACTGGAATTAACCAGATTAATGGAGATCCAAGAGGAAGATATGGTCCTCTTAACTGCAGGAGAACACAAGAAAGCAGTAAGAAAATTACCTCCAAGCATATATACTGTTGATGATGAATGATGCCTTTCCTCTCCTATATTTATAGAGTACATACTTGGTATTGATAACTCATAAAATGGACCTTTTCTGCAAAAATCTTTTAATGCTTTATAATGCACTATATAAAAACTAGAGCTTTTTTCTTCAGCTACCAGCCTCCATTGTCATTACTCATACAAATTAGATCTGACCCTGATTAGGGAAAGCCATTTAGGTAGCTATGGGTATTATATGCCCATGAAAAAAATATTTCATTTTCAAGGTTTTATGGATGAAGAAAATGTAGTAAGTCTCAAATTCCTGTACATAATGCATTCCTAAAATTGTGGAGGGACAGATCACACCACTGGAATGACTTGTGGGCTGGCACACACCCCTAAGCTAACTTGGGCAAGGTGAGACCTTTTTGAAGAGCAGCAGCTATAGGTGGTAAGTGCTATCATCCACACTGACTAAATCACCATTCTTCAGAGGGGATATATGGAAGACTAACTTTAACTTTAAAGGTCTTTGTGAAATATACAGAAGTATAGTACAAAAGTCAAACAGGAATATTGATGTTTAGGAGCCAGACACAGTGGTGCACACCTGTAATCCTAGTACTCAGGGAGTCTGAGGCAGGAGAATCAGTTGAGGTTAGAAGTTTGAGACCAGCTTTAGCAAGAGCAAGACCCTGTCTCTACCAAAAATAGAAAACTTGGCAGGGTGTGGTGGCTCATGCTTGTAGTCTCAGCTACTCAGGAGGCTGAGGCAGGAGGATCACTTGAGCCAAGGAGTTTGATGTTGTATCAATCTATAAGGATGCCATTGGACTCTAGTCCATGCAACAGAGAAAGACTTAAAAAAAAAAAATCTTAAAAAGAATTTAAAAGGGAAAAAAATTAACACTTGTATATAAGGGTTTGGGGGGTTTTTGATTGAGAAAGTGAAACAGCTTTATTGTTGATAGGGATAAAGGTTGAGTGATCTGGCTGGACAAAAAATCAAACCAACCGTAACATTCCCCTTAAGCCAAACCCTAATCCAGAAGAAGGTCCTCATTCTCTCTTCAGTTCTACAAAGGCTGAGAGCAGTAAAGAAGTTAAGAGAAGGAAAGTAGAAAGCTACCAGAGGTTGGTTCATAAGTTTTCAGAAAAGAAGCCATTTCCATAACATCCAAGTGCAAGGTGAAAGAGCAAGTGGTGATATAGAAGCTGCAGCAAGTTAGCCAGAAGATTCAGCTAAGATCATTGATGAAGTGGCTACACCAAACACCAGATTTTCAGTGTAAACAAAACAGCTCTGTAGTGGAAGAAAATGTCAACTAGGACTTTCATAATTAGAGCAGAGAGGTCATGCTTGGCTTGAAAGAATAGACTGGGTTTCTCATTAAGGGGCTAATGTGACTCATTGACCTCTCCAGAAATCCTAGGGCCCTACTCTGCCTGTGCTCTATCAATGGAAGAACAAAGCCTGGATAACAGCACACTTGTTTATATCATGGTTCACTGAATATTTTAAGCCCATTGTTGAGCCCTACTGCTTAGTAAAACATTCTTCCAAAATATGACTGATCATTGATAATGCATCTAGTCAATGAAGAGTTCTGGTGGAGATGTAAAAAGAGTTAAATGTTGTTTTCATGGCTGCTAACACAACATCCATTCTGTAACCCATGGATCAAGCAGTAATTTCTACTTTCAAGTCTTTTTTTTTTTTTTTGAGACAGAGCCTCAAGCTGTCCCCCTGGGTAGAGTGCCGTGGCATTACAGCTCACAGCAACCTCCAACTCCTGGGCTCAAGCGAGTCTCCTGCCTCCGCCTCCCAAGTAGCTGGGACCACAGGCGCCCGCCACAACGCCCGGCTATTTTTTGGTTGCAGCCGTCATTGTTGTTTGGCGGGTCCGGGCTGGGGATTCAAACCCGCCACCTTAGGTGTACGTGGCTGGCGCCTTAGCCGGTTGAGCTATAGGGGCGAGCCTTTTTTTTTTTTTTTAATCTTTTTGAGACAGTCTCATTGTGTCACACTGGGTAGTGTCATCATAGCTCAAAGCAACCTCAAACTCTTGGGCTCAAGCAATCTTCTTGCCTCAACCTCCTGAATACCTAGGATTACAGGTGCCTACCACAATGCCCAGCTAATTTTTCTATTTTGTTGTTGTTGTTGTTGAGACAGAGCCTCAAGCTGTCACCCTGGGTAGAATGCTGTGGCATCACAGCTCACAGCAACCTCCAACTCCTGGGCTTAAGCAATTCTGCCTCAGCCTCCCAAGTAGCTGGGACTACAAGCACCTGCCACAACGCCCAGCTATTTTTTGGTTGCAGCCATCATTGTTTGGTGGGCCCAGGCTGGATTTGAACCTGACAGCTCAGGTGTATGTGGCTAGCGCCTTAGCTGCTTGAGCCACAAGTGCTGAGCCTAATTTTTCTATTTTTAATAGAGATGGGGTCTCACTCTAGCTCAAGCTGGTCTCAAACTCCTGAGCTCAAATAATCCACCTGCTTTGGCCTCCTAGAGTACTAAGAGTACAGGCCTGAGCCACCTTGCCTAGCCCTCTTTTCAAGTCGTCTTATTTAGAAATACATTTCATAAGGCTGGAACTGCCATAAATAGTGATTCCTTTGTTAGATCTGGGCAAAGTTGATTGAAAACCTTCTGAGAAGGATTTGCTATTCTGTGTTATTAAGAACATTCACAATTCATGAGAGAGAAGTCAAGAAACTGAACGTTTGTGTCTTCTATTTGCAGTGCTCTTTGTTGGGAAAATTACGACTTGAGTGTGCTGATCTTCTGGAAATGAGAGGAGTGGTCCTCCGTGACACGTCTCTGTTCTCTTTCCTTTGGGTGGTGGATTTCCCACTCTTCCTTCCCAAGGAGGAAAATCCCAGTGAGCTGGAGTCTACCCACCACCCATTTACTGCTCCCCACCCCAATGACATCCACCTCCTATACACTGAGCCCAAAAAGGTACCAAATCTATCTTTATTTTCCAAATAAAAAGGAAATGTGTAAAAATAGCCTAGAATTTCAGATTTCATACTCTAAAGATAACTAGGACCCAGTTCTGGAAGCCCCAGAAGATTTGGGGGTTTGAGCCAGTAGTTAATACATCATCTCTAAGTAGCTACAGCATCTTTAACCCAACAGAAAGCCAAAATTTTCTTTAACATAAAGGCTCTGTGAATCTTCTAGGTCCGTAGCCAACACTATGACCTGGTTTTAAATGGCCATGAGATAGGAGGTGGTTCTATCCGAATTCACGATGCAGAGCTACAGCGTTACATCCTGGAAACACTACTAAAGGTAACAAACATCTTCTAACATCAGTTTACTTTTTTACCAGAGTATTTGCCAGTTTTGTTAAACATTTTTTATGAATGAAGGGTTCACTAAATACAAAATAGCTTCAGCTTATGTCTCTATCTTCATTGTAGGACTTGAAAAAGTAAATAATAGCTTTTTATTAGTGCTCACTTTGTGCCAGGCACTGCTTAAGTAATTTATACATATTTATGCATTTAATCTTTCAATTACTTGATGAGATACATGCCCTTATTCTGCCTATTTTAAAGATGAGAAACTGAGGCAGATTAATTATCTTGCCAAGATGACACAGTACAGAAGCAAGCAGAGCCAGGATTCAAATCCAGGCAGGGCAGCTTTGAAACTCAAGCTCCTAAACACTACACTGCTCAGTAAAATGAAGCAGTACTGAAAATGTGGATAATGTTAGATGAAGAGAAGTTTGAAAGCACTTTATATCACTTAATAAATACTACTTTAGCTGCATTTAAAGTGGGGGTATATTGGTGAGAGAAAATTGTGTAATCAAGATTTTTAAAAAGTCTGTACAGATGCAAACCTAGGAATTTGCAGTTGGTGATTCTGTAGAAGACTGTAAGATAGGTTTCGGAAAGGAAAAGGAATCCAAGAGAGTCTGGTCTTAAAAGATCATTTTGTGGCATTAACAGGTGAGAGGGAGGATAGAAGAACTTTAAATATGAGAACAGGATTGGATGCTTTGATCAGACTCTCCCTTTAGCTTTAAGGGTTGTGAATCTGTTAGCAAAGTCAAAGCCTCCAATCACCAGTTTTCAGCTTACCTTTTTCATTCCTTTCATTGTTACCCTTTTCAAAAGAGTCAGTAAGAAGACTGCTACTTCTTCTCTGAATACCAGTGCTTCTCAGGCCTGCTGCACATTAGAATCAAATCACCTGCAAAGCATTAAAAACAACAAAACCTACTGCTGCCTTAGCCCATACCAGACCACAAAAACTCTAAGTGTGAGGCTGGGATCTGTTTGTTTGCATCTCCCTGCTCCATTTCAATTAGTAGCCTGATTGGGGAACCACTGGCAGACATTTCAACATTTCTACATGTACTGCCTGATGAAACTTATCACATGGTCACCAAATCCACTGACCTCTTCCTAACCCATAAGCTCCCCTCCTCCCAGCAGCATTGACAATGTCACCCTCTTACTAATGTTTTCTTCCCTTGATCTCTGTGATGGGAGTTTCCTGCTTTTTATCCTTCCTTTCTGAGTCTACATCTCCACCTCCTTTATTGGGCCTCTTCTGTTTATGTTATCAACAGAGTAGTAGCTGCATTTACTGAGCACCAGGCATTTTTCTACATGTTACAATCATCTGCAACTAGTTGTATTTCCTTAACTATAAGCTTGATACTGTTTCGTACACTTTCCCAGCGAGTTTTTACTATTAGTTAAATCATATTAAGGTATTTTTCCCCTTTAGCACCTAAGCCTAGTGTGTAGCACTCAGTGAACCTTTAGTGTGTGTTTAAACTGAATTGTCTGGCTCGGCGCCCATAGCACAGTGGTTACAGTACCAGCTAAACAACAATGACAACTGCAACAACAACAACAAAAAATAGCCGGGCAGTGTCGCAGGCACCTGTAGTCCCAGCTAGTTGGGAGGCTGAGGCAAGAGAATCGCTGAAGCCCAGGAGTCGGAGGTTGCTATGAGCTGTGATGCTGTGGCACTCTACCCAGGACAACAAGTTGATACTCTCAACTTGATACTCAAAAAAGTAAATAAATAAATAAAATAAACTGAATTATCTTTTGAATTTTAGGAAGATGTGAAATTGCTCTCCCATCTGCTCCAGGCTTTAGAATATGGGGCACCCCCTCATGGAGGAATTGCATTAGGTAAATAATTTGTCCTTTTATCAATTAAATTGAATTGCATAGCACTGTGCCTCAAATTTGGGTTTACACTTTGTAGTGGTGGAGGTAGGCAGATGAGCTCAAGGGTTCTATGAGAATTTTGACTTTGTTATAAGTAATGTGTTTTTTAAATATATTTTATTAGTTATAAAGATAAAACTTAACTGATAATTTGCATTTGAAAGATGTTTTAGAATAAAACTACAGGGTCTTAAATTAATACTGCCCAAATCAGGCCACGTGCAGTGTGGTTCACACTTATAATCCCAGCATTTGGGAAGCCGAGGCAGGTGGATTGCCTGAGCTCACAGGTTCAAGACCAGCCAGAGCCAAAGCAAGACCCCATCTCCCAAAAATAGCCATGTGTTATGGTGGGAGGCTGAGGTAAGAGGATCACTTGAACCAAAGAGTTTGAGGTTGCTGTGAGCTATGATGCCAGGGCATTCTACCAAGAGTGACCAAGTGAGGCTCTGTCTCAAAAAAAAAAAAAAAAACTTACCAAACAAACGTCCTTGAAAAAGGCAGGAAACTATGGTTGGTTTCAGCTTCCTAAAGAGTCTTATGGCTAAGTGCAGTGGCTCACACCTGTAATCCTAACACTCTAGGAGGCCAACACAGGTGGATTGCTTGAGCTCAGGACTACTCAGTGCCTGTAGTCCCAGCTACTCAGGAGACTGAGGCAAGAAGATCTCCTGAGCCCAAGAGATTGAGGTTGCTGTGAGCTATGACACCATGGCACTCCACCCAGGGCAACAGAGTGAGACTCAAGAAAAAATACCTTTAAAAAAAGATTCTTGGCTGGACGCAGTGGCTCATGCCTGTAACCTAGCACTCTGGAAAGCCAAGGCAAGTTGATTGCCTGAGCTCATGGGTTCAGAGACCAGCCTGAGTCCGAGTGAGACCTCATCTCTAAAAATAGCCAGGTGTGTGGCGGGCACCTGTAGTCCTATTTGGGAGGCTGAGGCAAGAGAATCACTTAACCCCAAGAGTTTGAGGTTGCTGTGAGCTTCTGACACCAGGGCACCCTACCGAGGGTGACAAAGTAAGACTCTGTCTCAAAATAAAAAGATTCTTACTTAGGGCAGTGTTCATAGCTCAGTGAGTAGGGCACCAGCCACATGCACCAAGGCTGGTGGGTTCAAAACTTTCCAGGCCAGTTAAACAACTGCAACAACAACAAAATAGCAGGCAGTGCCTGTGGTTCAGTGGGTAGGGCACTGGCCCCATATACCAACGGTGGCAAGTTTGAACCCGGCCCCGGCCAAACTGCAACAAAAACAAACAAACAAAAAATAGCCAGGCATTGTGGCGTGTGCTTGTAGTCCCAGCTGCTTGGGAGGCTGAAGCAAGAGAATTGCCTAAACCCAGGAGTTGGAGGTTGCTGTGAACTGTGACATGACAGCACTCTACCAAGGGCGATAAAGTAAAACTCTGTCTCTTAAAAAAAAGAAAGCCTGGCGTTATGGTGGGTGCCTGGCTACTTGGGAAGCTGAGGCAAGAGAATCACTTATGCCCAAGAGTTTGAGGTTGCTATGAGCTGTGACGCCACAGCACTCTACTGACATAGTGAGACTGACCCCAAGGAAAAAAAAACAAAGTTCTCTACAACTTATAGACAAACTAAGGAGTTTTCAACAGTAGATTGCATTTCTCATCTGTACCTCTTTGTATTTTATTCACAGGGTTAGACAGACTGATGTGCCTTATCACTGGAGCTCCAAGTATCAGAGATGTCATAGCCTTCCCAAAATCCTTCCGGGGACATGACCTCATGAGCAATGCCCCAGATTCTGTTCCTCCTGAGGAACTGAAGCCTTATCACATCCAGGTCTCCTGGCCAACAGATGCAGAAGCAGAAAAGAGTTCATTGAATTATCTACACCAACCAAAAAGTTGAGCTTTTGAGTTTTGTCCTCTTAGCTTCCCTAAGGCTAAAGTCAGATGCAGAATTCTGCCACAGAGCTGACAATCAACTCCATAGGTAGAAGGAATCCAGGTAACACTCTTCACCACAATGAAGAAACAAGATACACAATTTTGACTTGATCACATGCCTCATTAACATTGTTTTTAGTTGGTACTTTTTTTTAAGTTCTTTTTCACCTGGAGAGGTATGAAAGATAGCTCCTTGTCAGAACATTATCATGGCTTTTTGTTTTCTAATCATGTTTTTTCATTCCCAGATAGATTATTCATTTAGGACAAAGGTAATCAAATTATGTGTAAAATGTGGGAAAATGCTTAAAACCCTGTAGACTGAGTCAGAAGGTTCATTTTACCAGCCACTTCAAGAGAATCATATAAATTAGACATTATAGTGATATTTCAACTATCAACATAATATAGTAAGAAGCAGCACAATATAACATAAAAACAATATTTAAATGATATCCTCAAAATCTTATTCATGTTTCACCTTGAGCAAATTATAAACCTCTCTTAGCCTCCCTTCCTGCTTTAATTAAAATGCAAACATTTGCTGTGTCTACCTCACAGGGCTTTTGTTGCCAAAATCAGAGATAGTATATGTGGAAGATAATGTGAGTGAAAATGCTTTGAAAAACTATAGAGCATTGGGCTTGGCACCTATAGGTCAACGGCTAGGGCGCCAGCCACACACAATGGGGCTGGTGGGTTCAAACCCAGCCAGGGCCTGCCAAACAACAGTGGCAACTACAAGAAAACAATACCAGGGCATTGTGGCAGGCTCCTGTAGTCCAAGCTACTTGGGAGGCTAAGGCAAGAGAATCGTGTAAACCCAAGAGTTTGAGGTTGCTATGAGCTGTGATGGCACAGCACTCTATCAAGGGCAACATAGTGGGACTCTGTCTCAAAAAAAAAAAAAAAAAAAAACTATAAAGCATTACACAAATGTAAAATGATATCATCCATCCATAAACAGTTACATCTCTATGTATTTATATTTTAAGATCAAACAAAACACATACATGTAGCCAAAGAAAAATAGTTTTATGAATCAGCATTGTGTTTGTTTCCATTTTGAATGTTAATAATTAGCTGTAAATACTGGCCAGGCTTAGTGGCCCATGCCTATAATCCTGAGGTCGGAGGATCATTTGAGTTCAATTCTGTAGTGAGCTATAATTATGCCACTGTACCCCAGCTTAAGTGACAAAAAGAGACCTGGTATCAAAAAAAAAAAAAAGGCCAGAGGACATGGTATCTAATGGCTGTAATCCTAGCACTCTGGGAGGGCAAGGTAGGAGGATCCCTTGAGGTAGAAGTTAAAGAGACTAGCCTGCCTGAGCATGAGCAAGACCCCATCTGTACTAAAAATAGAAAAAAAATTAGCCAGGCACAAGGGCACATGCCTGTGGTTCTGCTAGTCAGGTGGCTGAGGCAAAAGGATTGCTTTTAGCCAGGAATTGGAGGTTGCAGTGACTAATGATGATGCCACTGCACTCTAGCCAGGGCAACAGAGTGAGACTGACACAGAAAGAAAGGGAAGAAGAAAATGTTAATTGACCTCAGACCACTTCAATGTACAGAGAACATGGAAGCTCATTGTGATTTTCTTATAAATTCTAATGATAATAAAAACTGTAACAAATTAATTACAAAGTGGGGACAAGATCTTAATGATTTTTAAGTTGTTCTTTTCTGCTTAATCTTCACCTTTGCCTTGACGTTTTCATTTATAATTTATAAAAACTAGGTATCAGTTTTATACTCTTACCTATTTTTCTCAAGGCTCTAAGCAATATGATACTATAATCGTTTTTAATTTAAAACAGTAAGATTTGGCTCTGCGCCTGTGGCTCAAGTGGCTAAGGCGCCAGCCACATACACCTAAGGTGGCAGGTTCGAATCCAGCCCAG